GCATAATGATGGCATCTGTTACAGAAGAATGTCTAAACTTCTGAAGGTTCCAGTGAGCACTGTTGGGGCCATAGGCCTGTATGCACGCTCACCACGCAAGACTCCACTGCTGAAGAAACAGCATGTTGAAGCTCCTTTAAAGTTTGCTGCACAACATTTAAACAAGCCTGTGAAATCTTCTTCGTTATCATCTTTGTCACCAGTAGAAACAGCCGGTTGTTGATCACGTGACTCCCGTGATACAAAAAAAGTGTTTCCATTGCAGTTTTGTGAAAAACACCAATTTTGATACGGCCGAAATACCACCTCATCCTAGCGCAAAAACATTTTGTCGAAAAACGTAATTTTCTTCTAAGTTGGCTTGTTTCCATTGAGCAAATTTATTTTCAAAATTCTAATTTGCTCATTTTCATGGTCAATGGAAACGCAGCTACGCAGTTTGTTGTATGACAGCAGGGTTTTATGACAGGCTCTACATAGAATCTCTGCAGCATCTTRATCTTAATGTAGTTTGACAAATATCGCCCGGGGTTTCTCCTGGTCCCTTGGGTTTCCAGTGGGGAGTACGTGTTGGGAGGTAGCTGGAGTCTGGCTTACTCCGGCTCATTTGACCCTTCATGTCTTCTCACCTGGGTTTGAAGACTGTCTACTGTCACTTTTGGATCTTGCACATCTATTGTCATCTTGTCAACTTCTTAGTGAATTGCTTTGGTATTACTGGCAGTTTCAGACCTTTGGCTTTGTATGTCCAATCTGAGCAGGTCAAAGACTGCCACCAGCATTGTTTTGAGTTGGTCCCTCAATATTTTAGAAATATTCCCTCTTACAAAGGACATAATTTCTGCTTTAAAATCTTCTGTGGCCATAGCATTACCTGAGCTTTGAGCTGTGTTGGGGGAGMGTTGGTCCTAATCCACTGCCCTCCTGCTTCTTGTAGCTAGCGAGATGTTAGCTTTACTGTCATACTTGTACTTTAAGCTTCTGCACCATTCAAATATTCTAAATGAATGCAAGTTTCCTTGTTAATGATTTTTTGTTTTGCTCAGTCAACCTTTCTTGCTAAGTTTCAACCAAAAATGGCCGTATTATGGAAATATCTGTTGATTCTGCTGGAGCCCTAAAATCCATACGTCTCACTCTATGTCCTGCTCTCTAGCACCTCAAATCTTACCCTTCTGAATGTTTCTGCTGCAGGATGTTCTGGTAGTAGTAGTCTCTTTCAGGTTCACAGCAAATGAAGGAATCTCTTTTTCTGCGAAGGAAGTTCAGAAGGTCTCCAAAGCAGCAGTACTCTGTGATCACCAACGTGGGGCCTGAAGCCAGAGAAATATGTGTTGTCAGAGTGCTTTTCCCCAAATCTTTTACACAAATTTATACTTAGGAAGCAAAAAGAGCAAMAATTAATAAAAACAGGACAAGAAGGCTGCTATACCTCCAACAGTACAGGCTCCTAGTAGGTTGACGATGTTTATATGGTTTCCCAAGTAGCTGAGGACTTTTAACTCTGACATTAGTGCCTCTTTTTCTGTGGCATGAGCGCTTGCTGTTGAAGAGAGCAACTTMATCAGCATTTAGAAAAAGATTGGCAGCAAGGTTAGCACATGTTATAACGTGACTGTGAAATACCGTATTTATTCATGTATAATACGATCTCATGTATAATATGACCCCCCCTATTTTTAGCCTAAAAAAAGCATAAAAAATTTAATTCTCTTACTACCTCTAATTTCATATGGACTTCAGGATTTTTCAGTCTTTGCAGTCTTTATATATATGTATATATATGTGTGTGTGTGTGTGTGTGTGTG